GACCTCAACAATGGAAATATGATCAGTAGAAATGGCCATGCCATGGGACCTTTAAGATATTTTATGAGATTGAGTGCTAGTATTTACGACAACATTTTCATTTCCTGCTTGATTCCATTAGACGGTTTTCATCACAATGGGTTTGACATGAAATCTATATTCACGGTGGACTTTTGTTTGTATTAATGCATCATCAAATATAGAAATCAGGGTTTTGTAGATGAATATCAAAGGTGTTTGTGTACCTCATCACACACTAAAGCAGCTTATACTTCCAATTCAAGTACAGGGCCACTAAAAGCTAGTATATCTTCTCAATAAATGTGAAACAACTGGGTTATTGTAATCCTAATAATTTTAAACCATACAGCAGTGTGTGTGGGAGTAGTTTTTTGCTTTCTGGCAGATGTGGGCTTCATCATCTGTTCTCTCTCAATAGCACATATAACACTCTATGTGTAGGTCAAGGACGCGGTTACAGCTGGTAAGGAGGCCATGCAGAGTGTTTGTCCTCTAATCCCTCTATCCTCTCTCTCTCACACACACATAAATGATGGCTCCCTGTTTCTTCTTCCCCCAGTGGCCCTGTTTGTGTTTGTAAGCCATCTGATACTGCAGGACATAAGAAGAGAGCTAATAGCTAATAATATTTAAAAACGTGTCTATTCCAGACTGATTAGAAATGTTATAATAAAAAATGACACTGAGGATGTCAGTGCAATCACATTTTGTTCTGTCATCAGTGATGACACAACAAAATGCATTGATTGCACTGACATTTTAAATATGATTAGCTATTTAAAGACAGTTTCAGATAACGCACACTTAGCCTAATCCTCTAGTCTACACTATCTCTGCCTATGAGCTCCATCTTACCAGGTGTCAGGTGCCGGCCTGCTATCACATTCCTCATCATGTTCATCCTCTCAGGGCAGTTTTGTACACCAACATGTGGGTGTGTGTATGTGTGTGCAGAAATCCGCCCTGGGCTTGAGGCTGGTGCTGGGGTACTGACTGGTCTTGCTAAAATTGTCAGCTTCAAAAGGCGTTCAAACACGCAGAGGGCATAGCACAGCATGGAACAGAACAACACACTTATATATTACAGAACAGCTTGACATAGAGGAACATACTGTAGGACAGGAAATGGCTTGTCCAGCTGCTTCTGCCCACATACATATGGGGCAGGTATCTTTTTTAAATGAAATGATGATTAAAGTCAAGGTTTATGGTAACTGTATCCATCTCTGTTAAGAGCCATTTAGCTGGATTTCCCTCAAATATTAAATCAGTGTTTTATGATTTGCATTGTGTGTTTGCAGTTTACATTACGAGCGTTTGCTCACACCGTCTATTTACGGAGCCCAGTGGCTGCTTTAGAGCACTTGTGAGCGTCGCTTAGCTATTACGGCAGTGTTAATTAGGAAGCTGTTGAAATAGCGTAGCGGGCATCTCAATGAATCGGCGTGCAGCATCGCAGAACAGCATGAAGGGATGTAGTGAAAGTGAAAGATCATTAAAACATGGAAGGTAAAAGGTAATGGTGTGAAACTGTTATCATACATAAATAAAACTGTGCAGCAAGGTATGCTCATCTGGTAAATTGTGTGGCTGAGATGAAGAGCAGGACTCCTAAAAATAGTCTTTGAGTGTCTTGTAATGGGCCAGTGCTCTCACAAACTTTCAGCTGGATTTAAGTATAGAATAGCACAGGGACGAGTGATAAAGCGCCACCAGAGAGACAATGAACTCTGAGTGGCCTAATTCAACCCGGGCTGACTGTCTCAAAGTACTCTGCAATGTCAGTGTCTGTATCCTGTGCAGTATAAACAATAACTGATTAAGTGGGGAAAAAAGCTGGAGGCAATTTCTTTGTTTCTTTTTCTTCACTTTATACCAATGCGTCTTCCTTCAGTATTTCTTGCATGTCGGAAATTAGATTTTCTTTCGGTCTGTTACCTTTTATGTCAGAATTGTAATTAATACAGGTGTAAAGCTCTGAACCTCCGGAAATCAGTGCATTTGATACACTTACATTAAGAAAATAGAAATGAAGCATGTAACAGCGGAAAAGGCAGATATAAAAAGAAGAAAGGGCGCTTTAGTTGGCAATTGTAGTTCAAAACCACTTTGCTTAAATCCCTACACATTTGGGACAGGCTTGCTTTGGTCTAAATAGTTTAATCCTATTTTAGTCTTATTGCATTTGCCTTGTTGTTAAATTGTCTCCATCCCTAATAGCAAAAGTGTGTGTTTGCTTTGTAATGTTTGTAAAGACCCTTAACACTCACTTGGGGAAAAACTATAATCTTCTAAATCGTTGTTTAACTGTCATTAATTCCTTAAAGTCTCTCTTCTTAAAACTATTCTAACCTACTTTATTTCTGCCATATCTATTGGTTGAAACATTCTGACTGCACAGGAATATTTTACCACTTGTTTTTCAAGAGACTATGGTAAAGAGTGATCTCAGCTACAGACCAATAATGTTTTAAAATTAAGATTTGTATTTCGGTGTTTTGATTTCAGGCGGTTTCTTTTCATTCTCTCCTTAGATGAATCTACTTCCACCCTTGTAGCAAGATAGTTGTTCTGAAGCAAAATCAAAAACGGAACACCTCTTTTCTGTTTTTTCTCTCCCTCTCTCTCTGCACCTCTCAGCGATTGCAGCTCGCCCTGCGCTGATTTACAGAGCGGGCGAGTTTGACCCTCTGCGTGGGCTGCCTTGCATGGCCTACACTGATATGGAACATGCCTGCTCACTTTGTTCAAGAGTGGGCTGGTGAATGATGGTGTTTAGAGAGATAGAAAAAGCGAAACATTTACAAATAAGAAAAAAATGTTTTCCCTTTCTTTTTGTATTTGTAGAAATGATGTGATTAGTTTGATGTCAAACTTTCATTCACTCTGGTGAAAGGTGATCAATGCATCACCATGAGTGCATCCTAACTACAATGCAACAGTGTGTCCTTTGAATTTAAATGATACAACGTTATCCCACGGTAGCTTATGGTGAATCAAAGTTCAGGATGTGGGCATCATTAGCTGAGGATACAAAACAGTCATATCCTCTTCAATAATAATAAGTTCACATTTTATTTTATTCACATTTAGGCCCATTTGTAAACCCAATTTATTTGCTCTGAACCAGTTCTTTAAAATGACAATCATTCCCATTTATTTATTCAATTTCAAAACTTGAATAGACTGGATGCAGCATAATGGAACCAAAAGTGCAATCAGAGAATGCAGACCTCCGCTAAGGCCATGCCCATGAGCACTTATCGCAGTGTGTTTGTGTGTGCGTGCGTGTGTGTGTGTGTGTGTGTGTGTGCTTATGCCTGAAACGGTGATCATTCTGACCATGCATAGACGCCTGGCAACGCACATTGTAATATGATTTTTACATTATCCCTCCTTGGTTTTACTGATGTTTTGGTAAAACAGCAGCAAGTAAATGTAACAGTTCAAATGATGAGCCGTACTGAAGTTTTAAAAAACTAAACTCACATAATTAAAGTTCATTAAGATGAAGTTATTTGAACATGTAGAGAGAACGCTGCTACACTTAAAAAGTAAACAAAATAGCGGTAGGAAGTGCTTTATTGTGTTAAAGTGGTGTTTGTGAAGAGATCAACTGCTTTTGCTTTTTTCCAGTTAAGGTAAATGAGAAACACAGTGGTGTGTGGTGAGCAGAGGGGTGACTAGCTGAATCACATTGAAATAAAAGTTGAACATGTGCTCTTTGGTGGATTATTTATTTATCAAAACAAATACCTTGACTTATTGCTGAACATAAAAAGTAGTCTGAAGAAGGAAAGTAAGTAGGGACAGAGTGTCTCCACATCACACAGACATGATTATGGTGAATTTAGCGTGTGTGCTCCCCCTCTGAAGGATAAAACAGTTTGAATGTCCTGCCTTTGGTGCATCTTACTGCTGTAGTCTGGCTATTACATGGTGTCTCTGTAGGCCATTAACAATCATTTCTTTATACTGAAGTGACCCTTCCAGGTCCACAAAGTTTAGACTGTTTCTTGCGTCTTGTTTTAGCGCTGGAGTTTTTGATAGATGTTTTTGTTTTGTAACTCATTGCTTAGTCCTTGCGCCTACACTCACTGTGCTCCTGTTACATCTGGAACTGTTGGACAGGTTTTTACTGTAAAGGGATTCACAAGGTTGCTTATATCACAGGAGCATATATTTGTATACAAAAAACACTTTGTGCTGTCAGTTACTTATGTGCAGTAGAGTGAGAGAGAATGTGAGGATCTCTTGCTGAGCTGTCTTCAGGATCGTGGACAACGCTTATTAAAAGACGAAAAATCAGGAGGCGGAAAGCTTTTCATCTTAAAATTACACTTTAAAAAAAAAACATAATTACTGGTTAGAGACAGATGATTGCCATTGGGGAAGTCACCGATCAAAGAGTTTTCTCAAGTGAAGAAAAATAAGGTTTCATCATTGAGATGAGGAAAAATCTTTTTTATAAAATGTACCTAAGCTTAATATAAATTGGCACAGGAATATTTGCATACTGATACAAATATTGAAAACAGTTGGTTAGTTTATAATAATTGTCTTGTTGTTAAAAGTTGTACTGATGAGACTCATGAGATATTCTGACTTATCTCCTGACTCAATACAGAGTGGTATGTGCTGATGATTTTTAAATGCACATTTTCTTCACATATAAATGCTAATTTATTTAACTGATAAACAGGTTACTTGATGAACTGCAGATTACCTAACAATTTAGAATAATCACATACAATTACCGTTAGGTGGTGAAGATAGAACCCCAACTAGTCTTATCTGTAAATCTGTCATTTAAATATGTAATTTGAAGACATGACTTTGGTCATTTGTCACTATTCTTGACTAATTAAAAAATGTTTTGATAACCATTGTACACTTTTGTACACGTTTTTGAATTTTTCCAGTGATTTATTGATCTCTAAGCTCAAGTCTTGTGTTTCTCTCTTTCTGTCTCTTTCCAGGAAGTCCATGAGATCCTGAAAGAATATGAGCTGAAGTACTGCTTTGTGGACCGCAACAAGGGCACAGGTAAAACTCACACACAAACACATACACGCTTGTACTACTATACTTGTGAGGACCCTTATGATTAATTCCCTAACCCTTTAACCTTTGCAACCAAATGCCTAACAGTACACTAACCTTAATGCTAACCCTAACACCCCTTTGAAGCATAGAGGACCAGCATGTTAAATATCTAACTGGTCCTCACGATGATAGAAATACAAGTATACACACATGTTCAGATGATCTTGTAAACCAAAGCCTAAATATACAGCTATGTCATATCTGTCATCACACGTATGTATTTATAGTTACATGGAAACTAGTTTGGTAGTGATCTAAGTGTGAGGCATGGCTAAAGCACTTGTTTAACATACTGTAGAAATAGTGGAGGGGTCAATCTGGTGGAGGGACAGATACTTTGACTCGAGTGTCTGTTTCATAATTCATTCAGTACAGTTTCACATTTTCTGCTAAATATACATTCTGAAGTATCTGTTTTTAGCACAGATATGGTGATAATGTAACATATGTAGGTTTAGGATAACAGGACTTTGGACTGTCAGTTACACATATAATAAACTATGCTGCTGGTTTAGGAGGGATGTTTTTACATATCAATACTAAGTAAGTCTAACGAGAAAGGCTGTAGTATTCTATACAGATGAAAAGCGCCTTAAGGCAAATTTGTGATGTTGGAGTATAAAAATGGACTTGACGTGATTCACTTGACTTCTACAAATACTTTATGGCTTTTCTATTATTTAGTTATTACTATACTACTATTATCGAGTAACAAACTCCTGTTTGTGGTTGATTGCATGATGAGGGATATGAGCGTTAGTGGACTAGCATGTGGAGTCAGTGATTGGTTCAGTGTGTGTGGTTTAAAACAAAGAAAAAACGTTTTACAAAGCATTTGATTGGCATCTTGTGCTTCAGTTAAAATGGACTCAAATCAAATAGTTGAATCTGCTTTCAAAACAAATGCAATTTGTCATATTTACAAGTACACTTTTGCACAGACACACACATATAGTAAATGTAATCTTTACCACTATTTATTTAAGTTATGTCTTAGCACTATGCTGTAGTTGCCACATGTTGCATATAGTTTGAATCCTTAAGCAAAAATCACATAAAAGTGACCATCTTATTTTAAATTACTTGAGTTTTCCTCATTCTCCTTACCTCCTGAGTACATTTGGTCCTCATGAGTCTTGAATTACAAGAAGACACACACACACACACACACACACACACACACACACACACACACACACACCCCCCCCCCCCCCCCTGCCTCTGGAGTGTGTCCCTTTCCAGGGAAATCTTAAATATTGTCTATATTTAGTCCGTGCAGTCAGCCAAGCACCTGAAACATAATGCTTTTAGAAAGCAGAGAGATTTACAGCTGAGATATCAAAGCACCAGTCTGTCAAACAGGTTAATGGGTTTTAGGAGCAAATGAGAGCATGATGAAACACAGGTCCTCATCAGACTGGCAGGCATGTTACTTTAATAATGAGCCCCGCTGGGGTAGCGTGTTGGGCTCCGATGTGCTGAGGTGGGATGAGTGGGATCAGAATCCAGCGTCCCGGACATCAAAGGTTTGGGAAAGAAAGTACAAATATTCCTCCCTTACTCATAGTGATGGGACCACATTGGTTCCCTCTTATTTAATGCTCTTCATGTCTCTCTTTGGGGCAAAGGGACTACAGGGACACTCTGAATATCACAGAGAGAAGCAGCAACACAGAGAGCGTCATGTTCCAAAAGCTTGCTTTTTAAGCTGAAGTGCCAGAAAAAGAATTCATTCAGTAAAGTAAATCCTTTTCTCCTTCTTTTAAAGTAATGACTTTCAACTTTTAGGGATACAGTTGGGAACAACCGTGTAGCAGTAACGTCCGTCACTATGGCATGATCAGCCATTGTGTAGTGATAGAAAACATGTGAGAGAGAGAGAGTTGGAGGTGACAGAATTTTTTTTTTAAAGAGATGGTGCAACATTGTGGAACAAACCTTCGAGTTTCTGACTCCAACTCAAATATGGATATCTACGTTATAATTTAAAAACAAATTCAACATTTTTGAATGTCTTTTTTTACTGTAGGCTTGATTTCAAGCCTCTGCTTTGCGCTTTGTGTGTGTGTGTCTGTGCTGGTGGATTGAATAGTTTCTTGATCCGGTATAAACAACGCACTGCTGTGTCGCCTTTTACCTTATCACAAACAGATCAGACGACCTCTATCCAAACCTTAACATCTACTGTGAATTATCCGAGGGGTGGTTGGTGGTGTGTGTGTGTGTGTGTGTGATGTGTGGTGTGTGGGTGTGTGGTGTGTGTGTGTGTGTGTGTGGTGTGTGTGTGTGTGTGTGATGTGTGTGTGTGCTGTGTGTGTGGTGTGTGTGTGTGTGTGTGTGTGTGTGGTGTGTGTGTGTGTGTGTGTGTGTGTGGTGTGTGTGTGTGTGGTGTGTGTGTGTGTGTGTGTGTGTGTGTGTGTGTGTGTGTGTGTGTGTGTGTGTGTGTGTGTGTGTGTGTGGTGTGTGTGTGTGTGTGTGTGTGATGTGTGTGTGTGTGTGTGTGTGTGTGTGTGTGTGTGTGTGTGTGTGTGTGTGATGTGTGTGTGTGGTGTGGTGTGTGTGTGTGTGTGTGTGTGTGTGTGTGTGTGTGTGTGTGTGTGTGTGTGTGTGTGTGTGTGTGTGTGGTGTGTGTGTGTGTGTGTGTGTGTGTGTTTGGCGGTAAACTTGAACTTGCTCACCAGCGGATCATTTTTCATGGCAGCTGGATAACATCACCCAGACCAAGTGTTTACAGTCTGACTCACTCTCTCCTTCCTCCCTCTCTCTGTCTCTTTCACTTTTTCTGCCTTTTAAAGTCTTACAGCTTCAAAATCAAGATGGTTGTGTTTCTTTCTGTCCGTACCACCATGCACCGAAGCCCTCTGTGAAACGGTTTTAAGTGAATGAGCCTAAAGTGATAACAACTTCAGAATTGAAAGCTCTTAAAGTCCAGACTCTCAGATGTTTTTGGGAACCCTAGTTGTACAGTATGTATATTTTCCATTGTTTATCAAAGGAAAGAATGCCAATATTTTAAATGGAGATCCATAGTCTCATACAGAATCAGACATATTGTTATGACTATTTCCACTTGAGTGAGGACACTAACTCGGCAGTAATTTCAATCCTCTGAAACATGGAAAATGTAATTATGGCAAAAGTAATGGAAAGTTGTAAGCTCAACTTGGTTAGCATTTAGCAATGGCCAATTAATTACATTTTGGAGCAGATCCCAGCCCGGTGGGGGATACAGAAATGATGTTTTAACTTCTAACTTTAAGCTGTCCGAGTGCCATTCTAGCTGAAAATGCTCCGTCATGTTTTGTTTATTTCTGAAATTATGATTTAGTGTTCGTTTCCGTACTTTCATGTCTTTGAGGCTTCGCTTCAGTTGTTGTTTCTTTAGCTGTGAAGCAGAAAATGTCTCCTCAGATTCACAACATTGCATTAGAGGCTTAGAAATATACTCATCCCTGTTGTTGATAAAGCGTACAGCATTACAGGAATTAACACAAAATCTATTACTTGATTTTTACAGAAACAGGAATTAAATGATGATTATTCTCTTAGTATGTAACAATAACATATCCCATGAGTCATTATTGTTGAATGCTACCAAAATATCCATTGTTTTATGTGTTTTATTCCTTCTCATTGTAGCTTTTGTGCTCTTCTTTTTCCTGTTCCTTCTGAAACACCTTATTATCCCTGACAAAATATCCTCATTTATTTTTCTGTAAATAAGATCAGAAACTCAGATGTACTGAAATATGAAAAGAAACTTGCAAGACTTTGTAAAGGGGGAAATACAATACAATAAACACTAGCTTAACATAAGCTATCTGGCAGTGGTGAGAAAGAGTTGTTGATATAAGACATTGCCTTTGGGCAGGGTTCAAGCAGAGAAAGGTTAGCCCAGTACGTTTTTTGTGAAGAAAGGAAGCTAACCATGAAGTGACTTTAGCTCAGTGTATCAGCAGGAGGTGAGAACGAGAGACTAGTGTGAACAGAGGAAGTTAGATCAATTTCAGCTCGTATTGTTGCTGAGCTCTCACCAGAGAATTAGCCAACAGTTGGCTTTAGCCCGGCTAAGTAATCTATTCATCTATTTTGCAGGACGTAGCTGACTTTATTGCAATTTGTTCAGCTTGAACAAGCGACAGAAACAAAAGGTCACCAGGTTCACTCGCACTTCCCGCAAGGTTGATTATAAAATATTAACCGTATACGTTACATTTTTTATGAGGTGGAATTATTTGCCTGCAAATCATGCAGCATGTTCGATCATCTTCCATGAAATTCAAACTGTGCTCAATAACCCCAAAATGTGTTTTACAGGGTCTTTTGTTAATAGAGAAAAGATTAAGCTTTATTGCATATTTCATATCCTAATACTCACAAAAGAAGCTGTGTTTTGTCATTGAGAGGCAGAACATAGCTGTGATCAGTCAAATTAGCATAGAATATTAAAATGGTTCCATATTGGTTTTAAATATCTTGTTGTTATCTTTCTATGGGCTGTGTAATAAACGCACATTGAACATTTTCATTCAAAGGAATTAAAAATGTTCCTCTGTGACCTTTGTGGAAATAATTTTGATTAAAATGTTTCTGTGTCATCAGATAAATACAATTTCTGTAATGTCTCAAAGTTGATGAGATTAATAGTTTATTAGAGGACTTTGGTTTCAACATGGAAATATTGTTTATTTTCTTTGGATATTTATAGATGATTTATTTTCAATTATATTGTCGGTAATACAGACATTTTAATACGCTGGTCATCGGGCTCATTTTGGCACACGTATGTAAAAAATGATAAATGAAACAACTAGCTGATATATAAAATAGCTAAAGCCATGTTTCCCCCGGGCAAGAGGAAACGGCTACATTGTTTTATTGTGTTTAATTATTTTATAATTGGTATAAAATGCACACATATTCCCTGAGCTGAGTGTATC